GGTGTGTCGTGTGTCTTTGATTGCTCAGTTGTCCATTCGTCCTGTACTAGCTTGATGCTTCCTCCTGCTGTTGGTTGTATCTTTGTCAGCCTGTACGTGCTCAGCTTAGAGACGTCTTTTGCTCTGGTATGTAGAAGGCTGTGCGTGGTTGTACGTGGCCTCGCTTCCAGTATGGTCCTTCTCTGTACCAGTAGTCTCCACCGGGCTGTAGTTCCGTGGGATTCCTTGTCCTGTACCAGTCGTCTCTGTCTGCTGCTGTTGTGTTGTTTGTCGCGGTTGCTTTCCTGTTATCCTCCGTTGTGGTTTGTATTGTATGACTTGTGGTGTGACTCTCGATGTTGTGATCTCTTTCTGCTGAGACTGCTGCTGTCTTGTTGCCAGTTGCTGTTGTAGTGTGTCTGGCAGCGTTGTACCTTTCTTCAACCTGAACACTGTCTCTCCTTTCCAAAGTGTTGGCTGTGCCTGGTCTGGATTGTCTAGATGTTGGTATCAATCCTCTATTGTCCTTGTTGCGCCGTTCTCTCCTTTGATCGTTGTTCTTCTGTAGTTCTCAAGTCTATCTGTTGAAACCGGGCACTGTGTTCGTGTTGGTGTGAACATTGTCTTCCTGTATTGCCGGTGTACTCTAACGAGCTCTCCTTGGCTGTTGAATTGCCGATAGTCTCCTGCATATCCTGTGTACTGTGCTCCTTGAGGTGTCAGCGTGGTTGTTGATGCTATCATCGCTACTTGTCCTTGTTCTGTGTTGTCTACCTTCAATTCTGTTCCTCGTGGCAGTGTTGCGATCTCTGCTTGTAGGAAGAGTAGACCATGTGACCGTGTGACGCTGCTGTCGAAGCCCTTGTCGTGGTGTATCCTTGGATTGTCACCCAACACAATCTGAAATCCTTGTTCTATCAGTCTTGTCACTGATCGTACGGGCTGTTTGAAGTCACACACGTAGAACGGTATGACAATGCGTTGTCCATTGATGTTGTTCATGCAAACCCATTTGTATCCGTGTAGCTTGATTGGCTGGCTTGTCACTGTCCTCAACTGTGGTCCATTTTCCTGCGTCAACGGTTGTAATTGTGACTCTGTTGCGAACCATGGTGGGCAGACGTAGCTGCACCACTGTCGATCATGGGATCGATGTATCTGTTGTTTGCGCCTTCTTGTTGTTGTGCCGTTGCTGTAGCAATGATCACTTCTTCAAGTCCAGAGACTATCAAAGGCATCTGTTCATTGCCTTGTTGTAGCGCTAGTTGTTGTTGGTTGGAATGCAATTGTGGTCAATGTGGTGCCAGTTTCCATCGTAGTGATTGTTGTGGTACCAGTCATCTGTGAAGTCGTTGTCTTCCATGCTGTAGTTGTCATAGTTGTAGATGGCCACTCTGCATTGTTTTGCCATGTGTTCTGGTTGTCCGCATCTGTAGCACACATTTGTGGCTTGCTTTCCTTTTGTTCCTTTGCCTCCTTTGCTGTAGTTGTTGTATCCTTTACCCTTGTGGTATCCTTTTCCTTTTCCTTCGTTGTTGTATCCGCCTTTGAACGGATTTCCTTGCCCTATCAGCTGATTGTATCTGTTGTCTCCTTTTCCTCCTTTGTGATTGTTGTAGTTGCCGTAGCCGCCGTAGCCCTTTCTTTCGTTGTACTTTCCTTCGTTCTTTCCTTTTCCTTTCTCGCCCTTTCCTTTGTTGTACCACGTTGCTCCTATGTCCATTGGTGTTGGACCTTGGTTGTCACTGCTCGTAGCCGCTTGTAGTTTGATGAATTGTGATGCTGCTCTGTGGTACTCCGCAACCAATGATCTGATTTGTGCATAGGTTGTAATGTTGCCTGCTTGTAGTTGCAAATGCTGTTGTAGTGGGCCTTTTGTCTCGTTGAGCAGGGTTGCAATCTTGATTGCATCCGGTAGTAGTGTTCTGTTGTCTTGTTCGTACTTGGCGAGTTGAAGCTCCCATGTTGTAAAGCTCTCTTCGAGCTTGTTTTCGTCTAGTTGTGGTTTGAGTAGCTTGGTGAGGTAACCGATGCTTCTTGCACCAAGTGGCAGTGCATAGCGCAGGTGCAGTTGTCTCCATGTCTCGAAACCATTGCCGAGCATGTTCTGTCTGCATATGGTTGATGCTGCTCCGTCACATGTGTTGACGAGCAGGAAGTGTAGATCTCCACTGAGTTGTAGCCATTTGTCTGCTGTGTCCTGATCTGGCGCAGCTTGTTCCAGTTGATCGCTTGTGATTGCTTGCGCTGATCGTTCGGCTTGTGCCAGTAGTCTGTTGTATGATGACTCTTGCAAACCGAGGTATGCTGTCATCTTGTGTTTCCATTCTTCCAACGTGGTGCATTCTCCACTGAATCGTGGAGGTGATATTCTGTACTTGTGTACTCCTGAAAGTTGCTGTTGGAGTTGCGCTTGTTGTGTGCTTCCTTGTGCCGCCATTGTCACTTACTGTGCCACTGTGTACTTAGGTTGGTTGGATCTTGCCCAGGTGTGGTGGAGCTTGTAGTCAGTTGTGCTCCGCTACCATGTTAAACTTGATATGACCTGTGAACCTAGTGTGGAGGACCTGTGTGTATCAGCGCGGCCGTAGCAAACTGTTTTCCACTCTGGCAATTGTATAGGCTCAAGGCCTTGACACGCACACAGCCACGGTGAGACAAGCTGTTACCGTGACATGTAACCCAGGGCATGTATACTCTTAACATAGATCGATAAAGATATAGAAAGCCATAGATAGATATAGATAGATATAGATAGATATAGATAGATATCGACAGATATAGATAGATATTGATAGATATGGACAGATCTAGATAGATATAGACATAGATAGATATACATAGATAGATAGAGATAGATAGAGATAGATAGATAGATAGATAGGTGTAAAGGCTCAGGGATAGAGCCAAAAAGTAGTAGATAAATAGGTAGGTAGGTAGGTAGGTAGATGGGTAGATAGATAGATAGATAATTGGACCTATAGATCGATAGATAGATAGTAAGATAAGATAGATAGATAGACAGATAGATAGATAGATAGATAGACAGACAGATAGATAGACAGATAGACAGATCGATAGTGGATAGATGCAAAAATAGATAGAAAACTAGATAGACAAATGGATACATAAGTAGATAGATAGACAGATAGATGGAAACAGGGAGATAAACAGAGAGTCATCCGTCTGCTGTCTGTCTGTCTATCCATCCATCCGTCCGCCCGTCTGTCCGTCCGCGCGTCCACCCATCCATCCATCTATCTCTCGATCAAGTCATCTGTCTAGGCATCTATGGAGGGAAAGCGAGAAAGAAAGAAAGAAAGGGAAGAAAGAAAGAAAGAAAGGGAAGAAAGAAAGAAAAACAAAAAAAAAAGAGGGGCAAAGAAATCCAAAGCTTAGGTGATGCCCCCATGTAGCTCTTCGACGCTCGCGGAACCCCGAACCTCGCCTTGAAGCTTGGGGCGCTCTGTGTTCCGGGTTCCACGGGAGGGCTCGCGTCTCGTGCGTCCCGGCTGAGAGCTGCGGCTGAGGGTTCGACTTCCAAAAAGTTGAAAAGGAACTTTTTGGGGATGTTAAACGATGTTAACGCGAACCACCCGCAGCCGAGAACATTTGATTGAACCTTTCTGGCCCTGGCCAGGGCACAAAACTTTCAGCTGACCTCCCAAAACCGGAATCTCCGGAACCTTCCTTGAACCTTGCGCCTGGCCTGCGCCAGACCCGTGAGCCTTACACCTGGCCTGCATCGGAGCACCCGGAACCTCTTCACCTGGCCTGCACCAGAGCACTTGATACACCTGGCCTAAGCTGGAACCTTGCTTGAACCTGACTCCAGAGCTCCCCTGAGCCACCCCAAAGCTTAAGACCCCTTAGCTTTCAGCTGGGGAAGAAAAGAAAGAGAAAGAGAAAGAGAAAGAGAAAAGAAAGAAAGAGAAAACAAAAGCTATTTGAAAATTCGGAGACTTCCGACCCTCGGCTTCGCCGGCTCTATCTTATGGCCTATGGTCATGGTTCCTCAATTGGAATCGTATGATCCTTCCTACCAGGAAACAAGGAAATATGGGATCATGTCCCTGCAAGCCGAATTCCGAAGTAAAGGGATCCTTTGACCATGGCACATGTGCCCGCCTGTTCCTTACAGCATAGCGGACCTGAGAGGGGTGCGACAGGTGCACTGCGAGTTTGGCACTGAGACCCGCACGGCTGTCCAGCCATACGTGTCTTCAGCGTCGATGTCCACCCCCTTCCCCGCCAGCTCCTCCACCTGCATGTCTCAAGAAGGACTCACCTCACCCCACTCAGACATCCTAGCTGTGGGCACTGGGAGCAGAAACGTGATACACCATAGAGCGCAAATCTGCCTTGGCAGTGTCTCCCTCGTAGGCTGCCTTCATGAGCTCTGTGGTGCCACCTGCGCTGACCACATCTCGCAATGGCTTGTGCAGTGCACTGCATAGTCTCCCGTCTCCCAAAGTCTCCCAAAGTCTCCCAATGCTTTGCGATACCGCAACTTTGCACCTTCAAGGATTGGGTGAGCGGGCGCGTCGCCAGCAAAGGCCGGCGTTGGCTTTTCGCCAAATATCCTGAGCTTCAGTCTCCGCGCACCCTTTCTGGCAAGTGCCACACTGGCAGCATGCGCTTGTCATGCACCAATGCAGATGAAGGGCCCATTCAAAAAGGTCGGTGAGGACATTGCTAGCCTCGGATGGACACACCTCCTTCCAGCTCAAACCGCGTACCAGGCAGCCAAGAATCAGCGCAAGCAGCAGGGTCGGCAACGCATGACCTTGAGTCAAAAGCTCACTCTTTACACTGACCCACAAGCCAACTCTGCTCTTGTCAAATGCAGTCTGAGGAAGTCGGCGGCGACGAGCCATCATGTTTGTCCTGAGGCAGGTTGCCATGGTACGACACGTTGCTCCGCTATAGACTCTAGGTCTTGAGCCAAACGGCAAGTGGCATAGGATTGGAATCAAGCATCGCAACATGAGCGCGCACACACACACACAAAAGACTGGCACCAGCAACACGGAGAAGGCAAACAGCTTCAACAGCAGGGTCAGCCTGGCATGCATCAGTGAGCAACTTCTGGGCAGTGGCCGTCTAAGCTTCACGGCCCACCTCCTTGCACATGTCTCGAGCAAGGGATGCAGCCTGGCAACAGGACGTGACTAAGTCGAACGCAACGATTGCTCTTTCCAATCTGCTGCTTTTGGTCTGTTACCCTTTCTGCAAACGCTTGCCCTCACTTGCGGAGCCTCTAGAGCCTGCTTGGCGTTGTTGTTGGCCAAATGAGCTGCTGACAGCGACTGCAGGGCAGTCGCTTGGTCCTCACAAGCCCCGCGCGCAAGGGCCATTCCAAGACTAGATCTCCAGAATCCTCAACGCTGGCATCACCTAGAGCTGCACACGACCGCGGAAAGGAAGTGGCCACGATGGGACCCAGGCTCTGAGCGTCACGGGCGGCTTCCATGCACTCCACGGCTTTGGCGGCATTCGACTGGTCCTGAAAGTCTTTAGTGACTCCGTTGTCTCTATTCAGAAGTTGAAGAAGCAGCTTCTGTGGTACTAGCTCTGACTCTAGTAGAGCCTTCAGTGGTCACTCTAGTAGAGTCAACTCCAACGTCACTCTCTCTACTACAGTCCGTACTAGAGTCACCTCTAGAGTCACTACTAGACCACTAGTCACAACCAAAACCACTATTGGAGTCGCTACAATCGTCACTCCTAAGGCTATTCAAATTCGTACCAGAGTCATGTTCAGAGTGTTGATGCTAGGGTGACTACCAGAGTCACTACTGGGGTCACTTCAAGAGTCACCACACATTTGTCACTATTGGAGTCGTGACTAAACTCACTACTGAAGTCAACACTGAGTCATCTAAAGTCGGACTACGGTTACTACTAGAGTCACTAATAAAGTTGCTATTGATCGTCAATACTAAAGTCACAGCTAGTGACTACTAAAGTCAAACCTGAAGTCTCTCTTCGAGTGACTACTGAAAAAGCAACCACTCGAGTCACTATTAGCCTCAATTAGCTCTAGAGTCACGCAACTCAAGTCACTGAAATCGGTACTCGAGTCACAAGTCGCTGCTCAAGTCAGTGCCAGAGTCACGAGACTAGAGGCACTGCTTGGGACTCTGATAGGTACTCTACTCAAAACTCTAGTAGTGAATCCAAAGCAAATGTAGTGGTACCTCTATTCAATATTGGCATTCCACCTGTCACGAGTGTCGAGCCTTCAGCTGAAGGTGCAGCTGCCCCGCAAGGTGCCAAGATCGAGCCTCATGGCATGAGTCCGGATTGATTTGGACTCTGGATTCGCTGGATGTATGTCCCGGCCAGCCCAGCCGAGTCTTTGAGCTCCTGGAAGAGGAGCGCAGCGTCCTGCGAATCTCGAGCTGATTTCAATATTGAGATACTTGAGATACTTGATACTGGCGTGCTCTTTTGGGCATCCATGGGCTCGGTCCTTGGCGCATTGGATGGCCTGCTCCACGGAGCGACGCGCAAGGTGCACAGCCAGCAGCCTCGTGCCGCAGGTGCCGCAGGTGCCGCAGGTGCCGCATGCGAAAGGAAATGGCTAGGGCTGTGGCGTATGGAGGGCCACCGCCTCTGCTACCTTGCACGGAATCTGAGAATTGCATATGCATAATCCAGGCATATGGCCATGCAGCAATGCAAGGGTGATGCCTTGTCTTCAATCTCACGGCTCTGCTGCAAGTTCTTCTCTGCCAACTCTTGCCTCAGCTCAGCTCTCTGCCACCATTCCTACCAGTGCTCGCAGCTCCGACGCAGCTGGCACATCGCCTTTGGCCAAGTACTCCTGCACCTCATCTGGGCTTACGTCTTGGGCATCGCAGGCTATCCCATTTTCTAGCCTGTTCTGGTGCCTGTACACTGTTCGCTCCTGTACATGTCTCCCGTCTCACCTCTTGGTGTAGGCCATGACCTACGCAAAGTCCCATCACAGCTAACTCGCGCACGCCCCAAAAGACCCACCTGTTTCTGAACTCGCTCGCGAACGTCGCCCCAGAACAAGTGGACATCGTAGGGATGAAGGTCCTGGCACAAAGTTCGTAGCTGACAAGTGCAGGATGTAAAAAGCACAGCTTCCTCATGTGTCAAATGTGTGGTACATGTGCCAGATGTGTCAAACATTTTGGACGTGTCCTGGCGTCCCGAATGCAAAGTCATCATCCGATCCGCTGCAGCAGGATGGTGATGGACCCGCAGCAAGCCTTCGACCACTTCGGCCCGCTGCACGAAGTTCCTCTGCTTGGCAATCTCCGGAATCAACTCTCACTCTCCGGGAAATGGTCCCTTGGTGTGTTGCTTTCTTGACTGGTATTGGAGGTCAGTTTTCACCAGTGAGCATCAACACAAGGACATGATTTGCGAGTCTCCCTTGTTCTGCGCTTGAACTACTCTCTTTACCTTGGATGCGATTGACTCCTTTACGCGGCGATGCTGTTCATGGTGATTCATTGCACGACAAAAACGATGCCTTATCCATTGTATTTCCATATGTAGCTGACGACTCACACCTTCTCTGTGTTTGCCGGTTTGCTCCCAACACCAAGTCCAAACTGACGAACATTTGCTCAAGCCAGAGCACCGCCTGTGGCCCTTAAGTGAAGAGCAAGTCCACTTTGTACCTATGTATCCACTGCGCTTGTTTCCCTGGCATCGTGCACACACACACAATGTGGCAGAAAGCAGTCGACATCGCTGTTCGAGCCCACATGGTGTACGGCCATGCATGGCACGAGCGCAAGAAACCAAAAGCATTTATACTGCACTTTCTCCTGAAGAGCACGGGCAGCTTGGAGTTGTCATCCGGCAGTAGGGCTCCCAAGCTGGCCCCGCTCCATGCTACGGGATTCGCAAACTCAGAGAAGCCCTCGCCGCCAGACATGAAGCCTGGAGCACAAAGCTTGAAGCACAAGCGTGGGTCAAAAGATTTAACAAGGTGTCCGCAAAATGCATGTCACGATGAGTCACGTACTTCAGCCCAAGAGATTGAGCACTTCAACTGAACTGAGGCTGCCACCAATGAGGGTCCACTTCCTGTTTGCCTGGCATCACACTTTCAAGCTCGAGTATGTGGCACGAAAGCGCCTCAGGTGTAGCAGCGGCCCAAATTGCCACAGACTGCTTCTCAGCTGAAGCGGGTTCTTTGTCGATCAGAAGCGGCGACGGCTCAATCCACTGGCCTCACAGCTCATGCTGCTTGTTTGCTTGCGTTGCCCGTCGCGCCCGCTGCTGCTTGGGCCTTTGCCTTTGTGCCCTCAGGCTGTTAAGCCTTTTTGTTTGCCTTTCTTTCTGCCTTTGTGAGCCTTTGCTTGGCCCTAAGACGCCGACCCATGCCCGGCGCGTGGACAGCCACCAACCTCTTCAGCAACGTCTGATCGGGCGCAATGCGCTCCTTCACTAGGCGCAGGATGTGGAGGGATCCTATCGAACTTGGAACCGCCAAAGCTGCGGAATCAACAGCGACAAACAAGACAACAAGGTCCAAAAAGGTCCAAGAAGGTCCAAGAAGGTCCAAGAAGGTCCAAGAAGGTCCAAGAAGGTCCAGCTGCCCTTCGCTCCTTGGGAATGGCCGGCCAACACGATTGGCCGCTCGCCAGTCTCTGAAAGGAAGTGCTCAAAGGCAGACAGGACATCTTGATAGGCCAAGTCCCAGCTTCCACCCATAGCTGCCTCAAGGAGTGTCAGTTTCAAGCTAAACTAAGCACACTAATTGAGACAAACGCAACTGCCACAACTGCCAAAACATCAAACTGGGCACAAACATCCCAAAGACCCATTTGGGCGAACCTAGCCTGGCGGTACAATGGCGCATAGGCTTTACAGGCGGAGGTGAAGGCAGTGACGATGGTCATCTGATGTCGAGTGTTGAAGCCCTGCCACACCTCCTGGAGTGCAAGGTTGCAAGGCGGTATATGAGGCACAAGGCATGGTACATGGCATGGTACAAGGCATGGTGCGTGGCATGCACAATCCTTCTCATAGCGGCCGATGGAGGCTCGATTGCCCAGCCCTTCCATTGTCCCGTGGAGGTAGAAAAGGTCAGCTGGCGCCTGTGTTGCGCTGTCACCTCAGCCCAAAAGCCCAGTCAAGCTAAGTCAAGCTAAGTCAAGCTAGCAGGGAAACTTCTGGAACTCAAAGCAAATGCTTGGGGTATCGGAAAGTGTTCGGAAGTTGTTGCATATCCACAGACTGCCAAGTCTCTGAACTCTGAGTCTATTGGTTCTTGGCGAACACTGCCATCCGACTGGATAGTGTACGCCAACTTGGGCAGGTTCTCCGCAATTCTCCTTGGTCATGCTCTGTCGGAACAGCTCGATACTCAATACAGGATGCGCCAATACACCGAAGTTCCCGGGATGATGCACGGGGTGGGCCAGCCAGTATGCGGCACTGGTGAAGTCCGGGGGATCCGTTGGCAGGATCTCTCCCTCAAAGCGGTGGAAGCGCATCCGTAGTCTGCGGCAGCATTCGCCAAGGCAAGACTCCTGCCGCCGCGCCATGGAATATCAAGGTATTTCAGAACCTCGCTTGGGCACACGGGCTCCTGGCTGCCCATGGCAAACTGGCGAGATCTTGCTCCCAGGTTCAAAAGCTATTTGAAGGTTTCAGCTCTGAGCTACACGTCTCGTACTTTGAGCCTCTCCTCGCAAGTATGCGGCGGCAAAGACCCCAGCGCACAAAGCAACACAATCCCTGAGATGCCACTGCGGGCGTGGCCGTAGACGCAGCGCCTTCACCTGCATCTGACCAAGGAACGGCACCATTGGCTATCTCGCATGACGACCAATCCAACAACTCGGAGCTACGTCCCCGTTCAGCCTCCGCTGCTTACCATGGCACAAGCAAAAGGCGTCCCTCTCCTATTGTCCTACCCATTCAGGTATCTCACAAATCTAATCTCTGCGCTAGCTCAAGAGTGTGTGCTATGCTAGCGCAAAAGTGTGTGTGTGTGTGTCGATGGGTGAAAGGGATATTGGGCCTGCATTTCTGCCCGTGCTTGACTTTAGGACGTCTATTGGCCCAGGCACTGCAAAGCAACAGCAAGATCACAGCCGCTCTGGTAAGCTGGCTCTTTGATGAGTCTTTCTGCTGGTGAAACAAATGTCGAGTGTCCCGTGACTCGTGCGGCTCACTAGACTTTGACTCATGTGTATACCTCAGTCTCAAGAAGCTGATTGCTCCGCTTGACATATATCACTGAATATCACGTGCGTCCAAGGTCCCTGGCCCTTTGGAAGTCGACAGCCTCACGCCGTAGACGGGCGATCCACGCCTTGCCTCAAGGCCCGGGTCAAGAAGCGAGGGAATGTCCTCTGGCTGGGGCAAGCATTTTGGCTCCATACCGAGAAGCTTCGATATCTTCAATCAATTCCTCTCAGCGCCTTTTGTTCATAAGGTAGCACTGGGCCAATGAAACAAACCAGAAAACGCAGCCTGCAACACACGTTTGCCATTGCGGGGGACATGTGGGAGTGTGCCAGCAGTGGGCGAATGGTGTGGCCACGAACAAACATGCGTTGGGGATTCACCAACTTCCCCCTCACAGACCCCCAGACCAAGCCCCGAAGAAATATGACAGTTAAACCGTATTTACGGCATATTGACCCCTAATTTGCTCTGAGTTTTGGCTTGTCCTCGAGGGGTATGCTCCAGGGGTCTGGTGGTACAACCTTTGAGAGATGGCACTGTGCATGATGGAAAACAGGTTTGGAGCTGGGCAAGTTGGGCTGGCTCACTTCGAGCGCCGGACCCACAAAAAAGACGCCGGCCACCAAAACCGTGCCTTTGAAAACTTGCGCCTGGGCTCCGACGGATCCAAAAGGACACTCCTTTGCCCGAGCACGAGACAGGATTAAAGGCTCGCTGCGGAGCCTGCAAATTCACTCTCACTCAGCACATGTTCTCAAAGAACGAGAGGAGGGAAAGCGAGGAAACACACATGCTGCTCTGGCATTGTTTTCTTAGCTTGCACTTGCAGCTGGCAAAGCCCCATATGCTTCGCATTGGGTTTCTGTCCAACTCATGCTGAGAAATGCCTCTTATTCGTCCAAAAATGCCACAGCTTCCAGCCTCCCGGTGCCAAATCTGGGACATGCCAAACCCTCTGACTGCCTTTCAAAATGTGGGAGGCGCCGGAAGCTTTGTGGATGCACTGGAAGCAGTGAGTCACGCAGGGGCCCTAGGCCCATGGCTCTTGACTCACCGCTCAATGAGCTTCATTCCACAGCTAAATGAATTCCACGTAGAACTGCTTGCTGTCCAGCTTCTGGACAAATTGGGAGACTGGCAGCGCATCCTTTGGCTGATCAGCGAAGAGCAAGCACTGCGGAAAGTCTTCCATTGCATATTGGATGTATGCAGCATCACCTGCTGCCCCATCAAGCACGAGGCCAATGCTGGTAGCCTGGGGCAATGGGCTCCAGGTTCAGAAACAGCTTCAAACAGCTTCCAAAATAAAGCCTTCCGAGCAGCTGTCATAGCAACCCTTAGGCGCACTGTGTTTCGACGCGTGGCAAGACTTACTCTGACTGCCAAGTCTCATGGTGGCAGGACGCCAACGCATTTGATCGTCTGCCCAGCTGAAAAGCTGCGCGCCGCAGCAAACTGAGCATCCTTCCGTCAAGCGAACTTGAGCAAACTTGAGCAACGCATCCATTTCGAAGCCGCATGGAAGCACGCAAAGGTCCTTTCGGCTGGCCCACTTTGACAGGGGAGCTAAACTGCAGTGTGGCCTCGCAAATCCCGAAGTGTGTTGCATGCTCGCATGCCTTATCTTGAATTCGGACCCAAGAGGCAAAGTTTGGCTCCAACTGCTCAGCGGACAGCAAGCGCGGCCCATCCGCGCTCTCCCGCTGCTGCACGAGCTTTTGGAACTGCCATGCCTCGGGTCTCGCAGCACCGCGTTACGACGTTTCTGCCTCATTGCAATGGCAAGGCGCTGCTCGAATTCCCACTTCTTGCTTCCATCGTGGATGAAGCGGCGTGTAGGGCGACCTCAAATCTGGCAAACTCTCTCCAAAGCGACTTAAGAAGAATCTTCCCCTCACGCTGCGCACCAAAACAACTTCACTCACCTTAAAACAATAACTTTACTTCTTTACAACTTGTTTACGACTTCTTTCCGGCTTGTTTGCGGCTTGTTTGCGGCTTGTTTGCGGCTTTTCATCTGGGCGCCCGCGCTGCGCGTCGCCGAGGTCCAGGGCCGTGGCGCGCCCCACAGCCGGCAGCTCCAAGGCCTTCGCTTGTGCCAAGCGTAGCGCCGCGTAGAGGCCTGGACTCAAAGAGGCGCCTTACGGAAGGGAAAAAAGAAGAAAGAAAGAAAGAAAGAAAGAAAGAAAGAAAGAATGAAGAAAGGAAACAGAAACCAAGAAAGATTCAATGAAAGCCACACATGAAAATGAAAGCAAGCGGGGAGAAGGGTCTGCAAGCGCCTAATGCATCATAAAATGTTCGTACAGCTTTCTGGTAAAATGTTAGGGACGAGGGTTGCAGCACAAAGCAACTTAAGTGGCTTGGATTGGGACGCATGGCGATTCAGGCGATTTCAAGGCCTGCAGCAAACTTCCGGGGTGTCGCCGCCAGCTCAACCTTGGCTATTGCCAAGCCAGCTGAAGTGGCTCAGTCATTCGCCCGAGCGAGCCGCGTAAATGAAGGGCGCCTTCTCAGCATCTGCAAACTTTTTCCTCCAGTCCTCAATGAGGGCCTGGGCCCATCTTTAAGCATTCGTGACGTCGTGGCCATGAGCCGCGCCTTGAACATGCACCCATACGAACTGTGCTGAACGCTGTTGGACTCCCCTTGGTACCACACCTCACGGGGGTATCTTGAAAGCTCAAGCGTGCCAACCAGTTCGTCCAAGCAGCAAAAGCCCTGAAGACCATGCCTCAAAACGGGCCAAAGCAAACCGATTCTTGTAAATCACAGTACATGACGCCCGAAACACAAGGCACGGCTCGCGCAAATCCCTTCCAACATGTCAGCCTCTCTCAGCTCAAGCCGCGTGTTACCGGTTGCACCATAGTCTCCCAGAGCTGCGAGAAGCGCTTTGGCAACTCTGGCACTGACATCACTGGAGGCGTCTTGCAGGCAGCAATGGCATCTGGCGACTCCCAGACTTGTATTGCTGTGCCTGCAAGGCACCGCTTTTGCTATGAAACACATGCTGTGTCCGCTGTTGACATGCCAGCTGAGACCTCCAAATGACGAGCTCATCAGGCCGATGGGGACGGCGTAGAGTCGAAAGAGCTCGCGGCCAAAGAAGTAGCAGACTGCAGAGAAATAGCCTATGAAGCCAGGATGCCATTTCAAGATTCAGCTCGCGCAAAGCTCTCACAGACACACCCAGCCTGACCACGAACCACCACAAACGGACTGGTGCGATGAGATGCCTTGCAACATCAAAAGGTGACTGAGGGGATTCCAAGATGCTCGGGCACCCCATGCGCCGCCGAAGGTTGATGCTCCCGGCCTCACGAGTCGGCTGCATCGACAAATAGGATGAGATCAAGTCCCGTGTGTGCCAAATACCCAACAAATGGCTGTGGCCAACATAGACAACATCAAAGGGCCATGGTGAATCTGGCTAGTAATTCGATGGACATACCGAGGAGCACATCAAACTCTTCGGACTTGCCAGGCCGAGAGATTTGGAATAAGCGAATCAAGTCGTAGTGGTCTGCATCCCGACACGCCTCAGGATGCAATGGTGCCAGAACCCCGGTTGCTCAACATCCAGCCTGCTCAGCGTGCATGTCACCAGCCGTGCCAAATTCCATGTTGGACTGTCCACCTGGAGAGGGCCGGCTGAACGATTCAGTCCGCGCCCAGTGTCTGCCAAGCCGCTGCAAAAAAAGACGTCGCCAAAGTAGACATCCTTGCCAAGCCAAGCCGCCAGGGATGCAAGCTGTCAGAATGGAGCCGACTCAGCTCCATGCCTTGAGGATTACTGCTGGCGCTCCTTCTGCAGAGATGCGGACCGAGTATGGGCCTACATGGCCACGGGCCGGAAGGCTGGAGCTGGGCACCGTGAGAGCCCAAATCTCTGCCTCCAGCAGGCACAGGCCCGGCGCTTACAGTCCAGCTGCCCCGATGATCCACAGTCCCGTGTCCTCAACTGCCACGTGATCCCAGATCCCAAAACACAGCGGTCTATGCAGAACATCCGACAATCTGAAGCAAAGGTCGTACACCGCAGTGAGACTCAAAGGCTAGGTCCTTGCGAGACGTTGGACACCGTCGCTGTGACGGCTGTTCCAGCTGGCAAGCGCGAGAAGCCCCAAATGTTGTACTCCTCAGAGCAATGCGATGCAAACAATGCGGTATGAAACGCCATGACAAACCTTTCCCCAAAAAAAAAACGTAACAAACCTGAGAGACTGGCAGAGTCTCGTTGCAGGACCATGTGATCGCCAAACGCAGAGGACAGCCAAAGTTGCGCTCCAGCCTTTGGGCGTGGCGGCAATACACGCGGATTTCCACAAATGCCACAGCATGTGCAGTCTGGGGATTTGAACTCCAACTGACTTCTTGCGCGCTTCATCCACTGTCTGTCGTGGTTGTTAGCTCCTCTTAACATCGATGCACGTCAGCCACTGAAGTGGGAACAACACAGAAGCGTACACAGAGCTTGGCTTTCTTAAACAATTGAGCCAAGTATGGCCAACGCATTCACCCAGAACGCCCAACAACACCCGCACTTGCGCCAGCATCACGCCAAGCACACTGGTCTGCAGATCGGAACCCCCCCTGCACGAAGGCCCATCGCTGCGATGCCAAAATATACGAAGTCTTAACGAAACAAACATCTTTTCTCCTGAAGGCATCCTTAGACTCTAGACATGAATGCTTGCTGTTATTGAAGCAAATTGCAAGTGGGACCAAAACACGAAACAGTTTGGAAGCACGGATCTTGCACAAGTGGAAGTCTGTGCTCGCAACCGTGCCTGGCACAAGCATGTGGCCATGTGCCATGGCGCAAGCAAGCGCATGAGTGCATTCGCGCTCCAAATAGACTTTTTTGAAGTGCTCTTGAAGTGCTTCCCCTCCCAGTGTGCGTCTTGTCCTTTTCAAGCCAAGCCGCGAATGAACGGCGCATGGGGTCGGACTATGGGGGCTATGGCCAGGCATTCGGGGACAATGAAAAGTCTCACGCGCCTGCGCGGAGCCGCGGCCACCAGCCTGAGAAGCGAAGGCCAAGCGGCCAAGCGGCCCCAGGCGGCCCCAGGCGGCCCCAGGCGGCCGGCCTTGTAGGTGTAGCCCTGCCCGTCGCGCTGGGTGTGGGACCGCTGCCTAGAAATGCAAAGTGAAGTGAAGTGACGATAGTTTGACCCGCTTTGCCTCTCACGGAACTGTTGAGGGTCAAAGTCCACTTTGCTCTCGTGGAACCTGCGCCACATGAAACACGCAAGAAGTCAAGCAACATAAGCAAGACAAACAAGACTACAAATCACCTCTTGCTTTCCCACACCAAGCCAAAAAAGCAAAATGTCGAGAACTATACGAGGCAAGCTGATGATTGCGCACCCGCCCCCAGCAAAAGCAGAATTGCCACCAAACCTCAGCGCAAGGAAGGGAGTCGAACAGAGTCGAACAGAGAATCAAATTCGGGACAGGAATCAAATTCGAGTGAATGCCATGCCCATCAAATGCGAGAGCCCAGTCCATCAGACCCAAACGCACTCCGCTTCCACTGCTGGCCTGTGAATACCAAAACCAAAACAAAACAAAAAAAACCGTCAAATCCTCTCAAATCCTCTCAAATCCTCTCAAATCCTCTGCCTCCTGGCGTGTCCCAGCTCGGCTCCTCCCATCCTCAGGTCCAAGTGACTCGGAAGCCCAGCCCAGGTGAGGCCGAGCCCGCCACCGAAGCCCTGAACGAACCCGGCCGAAAGCACAAGATCTCTCCAAGGAACCACAAGAACCACAAGAACCACAAGAACCACAAGAAGCTAAGGCAACACTCCCGCCTGCGTCTGTGCGCCCGCGCCCTGCTGGCCCCCATACGAGGTGTGTGCACCGCGGCCCCCTGTCTGGCCCATTAGCGTTGAGGCCTCCTCATAATCCTGCAAGCACGTCAAAGAGCAAAAAGATGCGCGCAGATGCGAGGAGATGCGAGGAGATGCGACGAAGAGAGCTGTGACTTGGACAAACGGCCTGCCTGCCGTAAGCGCTTGAAGTCCGCTTCTGATGCCTTGCGTCAAAGTCGCATGATTTCGCACAAGTTGCACCAAGAGACCTCGCCGGCGATGTCAGGGTGCAGGAGCTTTGCCCGCTTGTAATAGGCTCGCCGAAGGTCGGCCTAACTCGGTCTGAGTCACTTGTGGTCTGGCGGGTCAGTTTGTCCTGCGACGTGGCAGGGGGCAACCTTGGGACACGGACGCGGAAACTTGGAAACTCGGAAGCTGGATGTGTCGGCTCATTGCATCGAGCTCCACGCTTGAAGCGACGCAGCAGCTCAGCCAGCCGAGCATTGCACATGTCACGATGGCAAATGGCAATGGGAACAATCTCTGGCTGGAGACTGCTGGACCAGGCTGAGGCAATGCTGAGAGTGCGTGGACTTTATATTCTGCTTCCCTCTCTCTGTCTCTCCCTGTCTCTTTCTTTGAGCCATTCACGCGTTACATTCAACAGGCTACAGCCGTCAGAATATCCGCATCGCCCTTTCCGTATGTTTTGTGCAGGCACATCACTCATCATCCAATGTGAGTCCCTTTCGCCTAGGCGCTAAAGCATACAGGAAAAGGCGCACTCCGATCTCCTAAGTCTGCCTGGGACCAGCACCCTGCTTCGATCAGCTTTTCTGGAATGCAGCTCCTCTTCCTTGGCTGTGTGCGGATGCAGATGGGATCTGCCAAAGTGAGACTGGGTGCCTAGCTCCTGCATAAGGTGCTCATTCACCTTGTTATGCCTTGGGGCTGGTGTATGCAAGACAGGCGGCTGAAACAGTCCCAGGCTCAGGCGCCTCACACCACCAGACCTACGCAAAAGGACAGCAAGCACAAGCAACGCCAACTGAGAAACGCTACCAATTCATTCGCAACACATTACATATTCATACTATGTGCCCTAGTTGGCACCCGGCAGCACCTGGGGCCCGCACTGAGTAAGCCCGTCGAGATGACGTGTCTGGAGGCAAAGCCTGCGCAGCTTCAAAGAGTCCGAGCTTTGGGCGCCCGTGAGAGAGCCTCGCACACGTCCACGAAGTGTGTGGCACAATGGGCGCACCTGGGCGCAACCGCATCTCTAGTCACTCATCTGCCTCCCAGCTGACGGGTAGTTCTGAATGAAGGCCGCTATCCAGGCCTGGGCCACATGGTGCGCAAGCACGCAAACAAAACGACAAATACTACGCCGTGGCAGCCTGCGCTGCACTTTCATCGAGCTCCGAGGCCTTTTCCGGGTGCTCAGCCGCCTCAGCGTTGTGCTACACAGCGCGTATCTTGTTTGTTTCTCAGTGCGAACGAAACTGCGCAAATCAAGCTTCGGAGCGCGCCATCGCATGGAGATAGCGCCAGGCTGCACGGCCAATCTCTGCTCTGTCAGGTGGCTCAACCTGATTGAATTGCAATGGACCAGCGCATGGAGTCCCACAAGCCAGGCCTCCGCATCCGCAGAGGTGTCAGACCTGCATAAAAGCAGAATGAATCAAGGCACCTACAGCCTTGATGGCCTGTCGCGACAGGAGCTCTCGTCGCATCGCCGGTCCGTCCGGAACTTCTCTCGTAGGCGGGACCTTGCATTCTTGGCTTGCCCCCTCTGACGCCTCTTGGTTATCTTGACAGTCAACTTATCACGAACTACTGCAGTCTATTTGTCTGTCCCCTCCCCACTCTTCCGACTTGTTTGCCTGTAATGCATGCCATGCATGCCATGCATTCTTTGCATTCTATGCGTTGCCCCGCTTGCGGACTCCCTCTCTGGGCACCTTGCCAAGGCGCGCTCATCCCATGATGGGATTTGCCAGCCTAAGCCTAGGACCCTCACAGCCGAAAGAGAGAATCAATTTTGCGCCGCGTGAGCCAGGAAACCATGCGTTTCGTGATCCATGCATTCAGGCCAGTGCTCAAGTCGTGCCTTTTCCTTGGACATCTTGAAGCGCTTCCCTTTGGGTTCATTAGCTACAGCCTATCGAGCCAAAGCCGCCAAAGCCTCGCTCTCTCAGCGACTTTGGCCAGTGCCCTAGGCTGCAAAGAGCCGTGGTGGCTTCTTCTCCTGAGCAGGAGCAGGAGAGTAACAAGACCCCAAGCAGAACATTGAACTGGGTCCAGATTGTCTTGGGGAATTGTTCCCGTTTTTGTTTGGCGTTTTTGCTGGATTTTAAGTTTGGAGCTGGCAGGTGCGAGCTCCCTTGGTTCTGCCGTGGCTGTGTTTTGTTTTGCATCAGCGCTGTCAACATCCTCAGCATCGTTTTAACATCCGCATCGTTTCAACATCCTAAGCAGCACCAGTTAGGGCGGGTTCGAGGTCGGCTCTGGCTTGTTAAGTTTCGGGGTGTTTGGGCTGTGCTGAGGTGGGCTTAGGGTGAGGGGCAGGCTTAAGGTGGCTTGGGGCTGGTTTACGGTTGGGTTAAGGCGGGCTTTTTAAGTAGTCGAGGGCCACGCCTGCAAGTACATTTGCTTCATCCATACCCCCCCCCCTACACAACTTTTTTCATCTTCCATCTTCTACCCTTATTCGTTTTCATCATTTTTCTAAATTCCTTTCTGTCCATCTCATCCGTTTTGTTCTCATCATTTTTCCATTTTTTTTCGCCATCCTTTCTCCTTCCTCCTCGCCTCATTCATTTCACCAACTACCCTCCAAAATATAATTTCCTCAATCTCCTCGCCTCATCCATTTCAAAAAATAACAATTTTTGCAAAATATATTGCAAAACATATTTGTCATCGAAAAAAATCGAGCTGTCTAAAAACGATTTGTCCATTTCTCGGACAAAAAATAGAACAGCAACAACATCACTCGTCCTTCGTTTCATCAGTTTCATCATATTTTTCCCCGAAAGCATTGCGAAGGGTTCTTTGGAAAAAAACGGTTGCCGACAACACAGCCTGACTTAAGCAGCCTAGCTTACGCAGCGGGACTTACTCAAGCTGACTTACGCAGCCTGACGCAGCCTGACTTGCGCAGCCTGACTTACGCAGCCTGACTTACGCAGCCTGACTTACGCAGTCTGACTTACGCAGCCTGACTTACGCAGCCTGGCTGACGCAGCCTGACCTACGCAGCCTGGCTTGCGCAGTCTGACTTACGCAGCCCGACTTACGTAGCCTGAGTTACGCAGCCTAGCTTACGCAGCCTGACTTACAGCCTAGCTTACCCAGCCGAAGCTCGCAGCCTTCAATTCTATCTTCTTGCTTAGCCGGGGGCAGGTCTGGCGGGCGCTGGGGGGATGAACCCTCTGCGGGGATCGTGCATGTCGGAGCGCTCTCGCTGCGGCGCCGTGTGAATTTTCTACGTCGCCAACGAACCCTCTGCGGGGATCGTGCATGTCGGAGCGCTCTCGCTGTGGCGCCGTGCGAATTTCCACGCTCGCCGACGAACCCTCTGCGGGGATCGTGCGGAGCGCTCTCGCTGTGGCGCCGGGCGAATTTCAAAGCTCGCCGACGAACCCTCTGCGGGGATCGTGCATGTCGGAGCGCTCTCGCTGTGGCGCCGTGCGCATTTGCACGCTGGCCGACGAACCCTCTGCGGGGATCGCGCGTGTCGGAGCGCTCTCGCTGTGGCGCCGTGCGAACTTTCTACGTCGCCGACGAACCCTTTGCGGGGATCGTGCGTGTCGGAGCGCTCTCGCTGTGGCGCCGTGCGAATTCGCACACTGGCCGACGAACCCTCTGCGGGGATCGTGCGTGTCGGATCGCTCTCGCTGTGGGCGCCGTGCGAATTTGCACGCTGGCCGATGAACCGTCTGCGGGGATCGTGAGTGTCGGATCGCTCTCGCTGTGACGCCGTGCGAATCTGCACGCTGGCCGACGAACCCTCTGCGGGGATCGTGCGTGTCGGATCGCGCTCGCTTTGGTTTTCGTTAAAATAAAACACAAAAATAGTATGCGAAGCGCGCTCCCGCACCTCCGGCCTGAGAATGGCAAGTTTTAAGTAGAAAAGTAGCATGTGATGTACGCTCCCGCAGCTCCGGCCTGAGAAGCACATTTTTTTCATAGAATAATAGTAGGAGGGAGGGGGAGGGAGGGAGGGAGGGAGGGGAGGGAGGGAGAGGGAGGGAGGGAGAGGAGGGAGGGAGGGATGGAAGGGAAGAGAGGGAGGGAGGGAGGGAGGGAGGAAGGGGAGACAGGGAGGGGTGTGTTGCTTTTGGTTACACCAAATGACCTTTGCACACTAATGTGTTTGGCTCAAGGCCCTTCACGTCATTTGTACAGTCATTCGACACATGGTACAGTGATAAAAGGCTTGCAGACCGCTTCACAGGATTCAGAGTTAAAAAAAGGAACCAGGGACAATCCATCCTCCAATCCTCCATTGGCCTCTTGGACTCTCTCCGGAATAGATCCAGGGATCAACGACCTCTACTACCAGGCACCCCGGCCGTGGGCCTCAATTTGTGGTATCCAAGGGAAGATGTCGTCCGATGGAGAAGGCTTCATGGAAGCCTATTCAAGTATGGCCAAGCCATCAGGCTATACGGAGGAAACACTCAATTTATCGATGACCGCCAAGCAGCTGGTTTAGGTATGAAGAACTCGTGGACGACTCACAGGAGACGCCTATATGTACAAGGCAGTGCTCCAAAATGACCTTTTGCAAGATCCTGATGAAGGAGTCAACTACTTCAAGAACACGCTGAAGAAGTACTTTGTATCTGTACAGGCTCCTCAGTTTCTTTAATCATAGAAGGCAGAACCAAGAGTTCCTCATTTTTACATCAAAATTCGAAATCCTTCTCATGAGATTGAAGGCAGCATGGATGGACTTGATGCCCGTTTTCACGGCACAGTCCCCATCATTTCGACAGTCCGTACAGGACGCAAATGCAAGAACAATTGCTCGACATCAGCAAGCCGGTGTTCGAGCACCGCCTCCAGTCCTGCTCAATGAGGATGATCCAACAGTCCTCAGACAGTATATCACGGGAATGCAGGACAGACAGCGGGACGCATTTCCCTTCGGGGATAATCTCATTGCGCAGCTTTTCATTATCCAGAGTGAATTGTCAGATCAGCAGAGAGAAAGACTGACAAGTGCAATGTCATTGAGAAACATCTCACTAGAGAACTACTCCTATGAGATGCTGAAGACGCACAACCATGAACTCTTCATCACGACCAGGACATCCATTCAAGATCCATCCATCCGAGCTCAAGGAGGCAACCGAAGCAACACATTCTTCATCATCGAACAAGGTGAATACGAAGGAGAAGAAGGCTTTTGGGTTGAGGATGAAGAAGGACTTGAAGGATTCATGTCAAACAACGATGAAGAGACATTCTGGGTCCTCGAGGAGAACGATGCGTTCATAGCAAGAAAAGTGTCAGGGCGGAATTTCAGATTCAAGAAGAGAAAAGGAAAAGGAAAATCAGGAAACAAAAAGGGCAGTCACCAACGAGGTGGCTTTAAACCCTTCAGAAAAAGCGGTTCTGGCGGGAAGGCCAGTATGGCCAATGAGAACTATGATCCCTACGACCAGGGGCATATTGGGGAAAAGGCAAAGGAAAGAAGGGAAAGAAAGGAAAATCAAATTCCGATATACAAGGGTTATCCACCCTATGAGAACGGCAAAGGAAAAGGCGGACATGACAAAGGAAAATCCAAGACGTTCGCAGCCATCGCAGAGAAGACGGAGGAGCAGCCCGCCATCCAGCAGACTGCACCATCCACACAGCCTACCTATGCCGGTTGGACAGACAAAGATTGGGATCAATCATGGACATGGAACGAACAAGGCTGGCACTCATCCCATGAGACATCCAGCACGGGACAAGCGCTAATGGCATTCCATGACGCATATGAGCATCATGAGAAAGAGGCCATCCACGGGAAGCTGATCCAATCAGATACAGTTTCAGAACACAATTTGTCCGTCGCAACAAATCACAGCCTTTTGGCAACAAAGCCGATGGCGCCTGTCATCAACCCTCAGCACAATCCGACCTATGCGATCCTGGACAACGGATGTACCAGATCCATGGGCAGCTGGCACGCAATCCAGCGTTTTTCTCAGGCCATCGAGCCCATGAAGGACATCATCTCCTATCAGTACATCCCGGCCGAGACTAAGTTCACTTTTGCAAACGGAGAGACCGCTAGGGTAAAGCATCTTCGATATCACACAACTCCTCCATGCAGTACCAACATCGACGTCCTTGAACAAGGAACTGTACCGATCCTCTTCAGCATCAGTCAGACGCGGAACCTCTACATGACCATCGAGCACACCTCAATGTGACAAGATCACATGCAAGGCTTTTGGCATGAACCGTCAATCACCCCCCAGTCGATTGAGCCCCGCTTGAGGATGAAATGGACTGTTTTTGCCGTTTAGCGCTGAATCTCCTCCGCCAGGTTTGTCGTGTGGCGGTAGTGTGGATCCACTGGACTGTCTGGTGACACACTGCGTGGTGCTGGCGGCATGGGATGATCAGGCTGATGTGGAGGATCCGGAGGAGGATCTGACATGTTCTCGTCCGGTGGAGTTGGAGGTCTTGGATCAGGCAGTGTGTGGCAGGTTGTTTAGGTGCATCCGCAGGATCCGATGGATCCGTGTGGATGGGCATCGGCCTGATAGCCGGCGCATCTGAGAATGACTGATGAACAGATGAAAACATCACAGCGTGCCAAGTCTTCGGATCATAATTTTCCCAATTGCATTTGGATGCAGGCAAGACCCAAATCCCATTCAGCTGATCAGGCTGCCAGAAGGATATGATCGCATCGTCCGGAGGTGACGTAATTGGCATGTTGATGCCGATGGTGTGGACGAATGCTGTACAATTGTCTCAACTTCTTGCAACCATTCCACATGTTCTGACATCGCCAGTCATTAGGATCTTCTTTGAAGATATCGATTTCAGTCCCCAGGGAGGAGAGGCAGAGAGACAAAGAGACAAAGAGACACAGACAAAGAGACAGGAAAACAAAAAGACAGAGAGACAGAGAGACAGAGAGACAGAGAGACAGAGAGACAGAGAGACAGAGAGACAGAGAAACTGTCAAGAGACGGCAAGGTGACGTCCCGTGGGACGCTGTGCACCGAACCCTCA